GCAACGGACGCTTTAAAGCATGGCTTCTAATCGAAAAGTAAAACCGCTGTTAAGGTGCTCCCTGACACTTGGGCATCCTTCTCAATCACTTCTTTGTACCTGTAGAGCATATTGATTCTTGCTTGAAATACATCATAATTGTGCATTCCTATGCGTGCAGTCGAGAAAGGCGTGTCTTCAGATTATTTCCTATTTCCTTGCACGCGCACGGCGTGCAGAGCCTCCCAACGCGCTGTGTAAATGTCGTCAAACACTCCTGGTGATCTTTTGTTAGCTTCCTAGTTTATTAGTTACCAACGACAACTAAGCCTTATGTCCAATTCAATGTCCATACATGGTTGTGTATCTAGATAAGAACTTATTCGAGGGAGAAAGAAACATATTAGCCAAAACTTGGGACTTGCATGTAAATTTGATCGACGCCATATCTCACCGCTCTTTCGTATCGTACAGCTAAGGACTTTACTCAGCCTTCTTTGCATCATGCGCAGTGCACTTTCTTTGCTTGTTCTTGGCGTTACCTTCGGTAGTACCCTCGTCCCGACCGCTGGTCAAGACCTCAATCTCAAGTCGATTCGCACTGTCGATAGATCCGTGACAAACAAGGACACATGGAAAATGAAAGGTAACATCAATGATCCTTCTCTGACCATTGTTCCGGCGATTGGCCAGACTGGACTGACCGTCGAATTGCAAGACGCCGCTACTGATCCCTTGAACACCGTAGCTTTTGCAGCGAGCGATTGTCGTGTACCCGCGCATGGAAGGAGGGCAACCTGTAAAATTAGAGGAGCTCGCGTGTCGATTAAGACATCCAGACGTCCAAAGGTTAAAACGCCCAAAACTGTGCACGCGAAAAGCTACAACTCAACTGGTGGTTACTACAGTGTGACCGGAACTTTTCGAGGATTGACGTTCCTCGAGAACCCAGTGGTGTCTCCTCTTACAGCTGCGCTAAGAATTAACGGAAGTGTGCTGTCAGACACTCTCACCTCATGCTATGATCTTGCTCGAAAGAGTGGCAGGAACACGATTAGTCACTGTGAGCCTGGGCCTCCTGCTCCTACGCCGACCTGGACAGAGCAAACCACCGCTGGTGCCCGTCGCTGGAGCTCAATCGCGTCCTCGTCGGATGGCACGGTACGTGTTTGGATGCAGGCAATGATGCAAGGTGCATCGGCATCGTGTGTGCATGTCTCGTCCAGAATCGGCATGCGATGCTCGATCTGACGCATCCTGCTTGACTACCCATCCAATCATGCCCAGAACCTTGCCGCCGTCGATAGTTCAGGCTCCATCTGGACGTCGACCGACGCGGGCGTCACCTGGACTGAGCGATTGGACGATGAACCCCGTCGCTGGCGGTCGATTGCGTCCTCGTCGGATGGCACGGTACGTGTTTGGATGCAGCCCATTACGCAGGGTGCACGATGCCCCTGTCCGCGATGGTGGTCCCATCGTGTGTGCATGATAAGGGAAGGGTCGCCATGCGATGCTCGATCTCAAGCATCCTGGTGGACTACCCATCCCATCTTGCACAGAATCTTGCCGCGGTGAATCGAGATCGACTTAATTTCCCAATACAAGATGGCAACATCTGGACGTCAACCGATGCGGGCGCCACCTGGACGGCACGAACCGCCGCCGGCTCACATAACTGGATATCAATCGCGTCCTCGTCGGATGGCACGGTACGCGTTTGGATGCAGGCCATTTTCCGAGGTGCACCATGCCACTGTCCTCGATGGCGGTCCAATAATGTGTGAATCTCTCGTCCAGGGTCGCCATGCGATGCTCGATTTGACGCATCCTGGTCGATTCGATCTTTTCCAACGTACAGAATCTTGCCGCCGTGGTTAGTGGAGGCTCCATCTGGACGTCGACCAACGCGGGCGTCAACTGGACGGAGGAAGAAGCTGGCTCACGCGGCTGGGAATCAATCGCGTCCTCGTCGGATGGCACGGTACGTGTTTGGATGCCATGACGCACCATGGGGCACCATCCC